AAGAAAAATGTTTAGGAGTATTAATTAGTGCTCCTACTAATTAGGTGGCAGTAGGTCTTGTCATTAATGATGTGATGTTTTGGTCTTGAAGTTGTATTTTTTTTTTTTACTTTTTTAATGCATTAGTGTTATTAGTGGTGATGTTTTTAGTGGGATGAATCATTGTTGTTGTTGAAAATTATGGTGCATATTTTTTAAAATGTATATATCATATGTATTTTATAATTAAAAAAATATATATAATTTTATATTTTTTGAATTATAATTAAAAAAAAATTATAATCAAATAAAACATGAGATATAAAATTAAAAATTTCATGAGTCATAACTAAAATAATATTATAATTAAAGAAAAAAATTTATCATAATTAAAAAAGAAAATAATATAATTAAAAATTCATATAATACACCATTTCAAAGGCATATTGTCGAATGTCTCCGCAATTAAATACATATAAAGAGATGTTGAATAAATTACAATATATCAGTAGCACATAAACATGTTTGGACCTGGATTGGACAATTTAAAATTATAAAAAATAAATTAAAAAATTAAAAAAAAAACAGATAAATGATGCATATTCTCTTTTAAATTTAGAGAAAATATAAAATATGTCCAATAAATTTGGCATGATCATATTAATCCTCTTAAAGTTTTAATTACTATAGCATTTAGCTTATTTTTCATTAATAATTCGTCAATCACATGAATATAAAATTAATTTTATCATACTAAAGTATATATTTACATTATTTATGTTTATGTCTTTACATTATTTATGTTAGTTTCGGTCTCTCCAATTTAACTAAAAGGGATGTGATAGCAATTATATCAAAATTGTGGAGTTTATTGTATTTTTTTTCAAATTTCGAGGAGGCAAGTGTAATTAATCAAACAAAATTTTGAAGCACTTTTTTGTAACTACAGTAGGTGAAAACAAAAATAGAGTGCAAAAATATTGGTAATATATTTTCAAAATTATACTTGTCTTTTCTTATTTGAAGACAAATATTACGGAATCATATGACAAAATTATTGGATGAATTTAATTTTGTAATTGATGAGTTATATAAAGAAACTTATAAAATGAATGATTAGGTTGTTATAGTTAACTCGTGATGAATTCACATGCCCAAACTAAATTGGTTCAGCTCACATGATGGATTAAAGAAAAATTCAATCTTAACCAAATAATAAATAAATTAGACTGATTTTCCATTATTTTTATTTTTTTCTTGAAAATTAAATAACAGCAATAATTGATAATAATACAAAATTTTCTTCTTTCAAGTTGATTAGACTATCTATAATTATAAAAATAATAATAATGCACTTTTGTCGGTATATATAGATGGTAAAATAAAAAGAGAGTGAATGAGATAATTTTTAGGGGAAATATCTAAAAAATGAAAAGTAAAAAAAATAATTATAAATTCATGAAAATACAATCTAGTGCATATTTACAATTATTTTTCTAACTTTCTATTTTTATTTTATTTTTTTTATATTTTCCCTAATTTTAATTGGGGAAAAAAAATATTTTTCCTTTGTATTCCACCAAGCAGCTACAGTTATGTTAGGAAGTGTACATCTATCCATCTTGATCAAAAAACAAAAAAGTGTATCCATGTGCTCATTTTGACTTTCTAGGGTGCTTTCCATTTGCTTTGTGTAACTTTTGCTTGTTACGTTATATTTGAATCATGGTAAAAATTAAAAAAGTATAAGAGAAATTAAAAAAATATGTTTATATTTATATTTCATTTATATTTGTCTTATTTTATTTTTATATTTTTAAATTTATGATCAAAAATAATATTTTTTTTTTCATAAATTTGATTTATATAAGATATTACAATAAAATTCAATGAATTGCACTGACCTCCTAATGAGGTGTAAAAATTTTGACCCAACGGACTAACCTATTGGTTATCAAAACACAACATCAAGATAGTGTCATTAATTACATGAATGTTGTTATAAAGTTTGGTTGTAAACTTTTTGGTTTTGAAAAATGTTAAGAACCTGTGTTTACAAATTTCGAATTTACCTCGAATGTGATTGTGTGATGGAAATTGAATTGATGAAGTGTGGGGTCTACATATGAAATGAATGTGAGGGATTGATTCCTTTTTCTAGATAAATTTTGAGTTGATGATGATGGATTTGTTGTGTTGTTATTTTGTTTTATTTGGATGTTTATAGATGGTTTTGTATAGAGGAGAATAAAAAAAAAAAGAAAAGATTTTGTTTTAGTTGTTTATTTTCCTGTTTTGGCCTTTTTTCTTTTTTTGATTATTAATTTTGTTTTTTAAGTTGTAAAACATGAGAGTCCTGTTTGATTTTAATTTCAAAATAATTTAAGTTTTTTTTTTCCAAAAATATAATTTAATTTGATAAAAATAAATATTTAAATTTAAAAAAAAAAAAATTGCTCTAAAATTTTTGATCTATTATTTTAGATTGTTATCATTAACACCTATCTTTATTTTTTCGACCCCTTATTTCTTTGAACCCACACCTAAAAATTCGATTTTAATAATATTTTTTTTAACATCCCCACATAATACTTACCCCTATTTATAATATTATCACCTAATTTATGTACACCCACCTCATTTACACACCTTCTCTGTCAACAATGAAGGACGACAATCCCCCTCCATTAGCGACACTGTCTCCATCATCGACGATGAAGACTGATTGTGTTGAAAATTGATTGAATCAATTCGAAACTCTAATTGAGCGCAATTTTCAATCCAAGAAAACTGGGTTCTTCGATTTTGATAGAAATTGAGAACATAGTTGTTGGCTTTTTTGGCTTTCAAAGGTTACTTTCGTAACTATGAGCGTGCCAGCAAGGATCAATCAGTCCTTACAGAATTGCCAAACAATTATTCAGACGATTGTGTTATGGTTCTTTCGGCCTCAATAAAGAGGACTTTTATTGGTAGTTTACTGGTAATTAAACTTTAGAAAATCTGAACATAAGAACAGTTAACTAAACTGGAGTATTTCATTAGTATAAAAAGAACTTACAATGATCTCAGTTCCGTATAGAATTACAGCGACAATATACTTGACAACTACTCCTACAAATGAAGTGCAGCGCAGAAACTAAAAATACAGGAATATAAAGGACAGGAAATAACACTGGAATATGTAAAGTGATTCTTTAGATTTTTCTCCGTTCTCTTCTCTGAAGTCCTTCCTGCTATTTATACTCTCCGAAGATAACCATCGAATTGTACTTCAAACCGTCGAACTGCTCCTCCGTAGTTGCTGATCATGCTACCTTATAAGTAGTCCCACTACGCCTTCACTTGCAGTTAGGCTTCCCCTTTATATTTGAATTTGAAATGTGAGTAACCGTTGAAGCCACGTCACTGTACGTCTCTTTGTTGATCTGCTACTACTCAGATCTTATAACAACCAATATTAATTGCCACGTGTATGGTCAGGATCGAAGACCTACCTGGTCTCTCCATATTACCCTCACTTTGCCACGCGTTGGATTGTCACTGGCTTAGTACAAAATGTGTAGCCAACAATAGTCATTTGAATCGAAGTTTATACTCTTGGATTTGTTCAAAATCTACCCTCTAATTGGGCTTTTACGTTCAAAACCGAGTAATTGTATAAGTCTTTTATGTTTAGTACTATGTTACGAAACATAAAGGATTTGTTCAATATTGTGTTGCCAAACATAAATAATTTGTTAATGCCATGATTTATGAGCGCCGGAGACTGGAGTGGAACCATGCAGTAGGAAGAGGCGTTCAAGGTAGGGCCACATAATCAAAACAAGTATGGTTAGGTTGGGATGTAGGTTGATTTTTTAATTTTTTAATTATTTTGTTATTTTAGTTTGGGATTAAAAAGTCTTATTTGAAATGAGTTTTTTGGTTTTTTAAGTTTTTGTGAGAGAAAAATAAAATGATTAGGATTTAGATGTAATATTTTATCTTATTGACTTTTTAACATATTTTATCTTTTTATAACTATTTTAACCCCCAAAAGATATGTCAAACGAATCCTATATGTCCTCACAATTAAAGAAAAAGAGTGATAGTTAAAATGTGTTTTTTTTTTTGTGTGGTTAAAATAGTCAATAAAGATATATATATATATATATATATATAAAAGTTAAAATAGTTAATAAGATAAAATATTATATCATATACATCAATTAATAACTTTTTTATCACAAATATCTATTCAACTAAAAAAAAAAAAATCCTAAACCATCCAAAACACAACTTTTTGTCATTTTATAAGATAGGCCAAGCTTGTCTCCAGTCCATTTTGTAAATTGGACAGTGTTGTTGGGCTCGTGAGGCCCATCACGAGTCTCGTTTAAATGATTTAAATCATTCAATGTGTAGAGTTCATCAAACACTTTATCCTTGTAAACAATCACGTTAATCGGATATCATTAGTCTCTTGATCAGAACAATTTTTTAATGGTAAATTATGATTTTAAAAATAAATTATTGACAAAAATATATTCTAATCAAGGGGCTATCAATATCTCATTAACATGACTTTTTATAAGAATAAAATAATAAATAAATTCTATACATTAAACTGTTTAGATTATCAAAATAAAACGCATTATGAACCTCACGGACCCAATAATGCTGTTTTATCTATTTTGTGAATTAGAGACAACCCGTCACCTCATAAAATAGTCAAAAAGGCAAGTTGCAAACAAGATCATAATTTTATCTTTTGAAATGCAACAATGATAGAGACCACTAATTTTAGAACTCTAAAAACACCACTAATGACATGACACTCAATAAAAAAAGAAAAAAAATACAACACCAAGGCCAAAACATCAAATCATTCTTGGTGGGGCCTACTGCCACATCATTAGTGATAGCACTAATTAGTGCTCTCATTTATTTTCCTTTGAAATGCGGAAATAATGTGGAAATAATTTTTAAAATTTATTTGTGAAAATCAAAGCAAACGCGGCCTTAATTTTCTACTAACCTTCAGCTTCAACGGGCAGCCACATACAATACAAAGCCTCAAGGCAAATACGCCAAAAGCTTCAAAACAGGCACACACTCACACACACCATGGCAAAGAAAGCTTCAAAATCTCGAAAATCTTCCTCAGCCTCTGCTTCTGCTGAAAACCCAACAACTGGGTAAGCACCACTCTTTCTTCTCAGCATACTTTAACCCTTTTGGCTTTCTCTATGGTTTGTTTTTTCTAGGAAAATGATGGATTAAAATTTTCCAGGAAAATCGCGTTGAAGATAAAATCAACGGGGAAGAAGATGAAGAAAGTGATGAAGCAGAGCAGACCCAATTCGGGAAACAAGTCCAAGACTACGCCGAAGAAGAAGGCAGCGAAAATCGATGCCAAGAAACCCAAGAAACCCCCCACTGCTTTCTTCTACTTCTTGTATGTTTTTGTATATTTTTTATATTATAATCTCAACTTTGATTTTTTTAGTTTCTCTAAAATGGTTTATTTCTTGTATCTATTGTTTTAATTGTTTGTTGAGTTTATAAATTCATGAATAATCATCAATGCAAGTTGAATTGGCAATGTGTTGTGTGTGTGTGTGTGTTTGTGTTTTTTGTTGTGACCTTCAATTGGGTTTGTTTTTGATAGGGTTTAAATGGATCTTTTTGTTATTGACAGGAAATGAAATTAGAAGGAAAATAAAAACTAGTTTATTTCCCAATAGGTGTGTTCAATTGTTGAAGGAGAATGTAGGTTCTAGTATAACTATTTTCTCGAAGGAGATGCTTTTTTCTCAAATCCTTTCCCATAAGACTCTGTTTGGATTATGGACTTGGGTAGGGATTTGGAAAGGGAAACGGAAAAGGAAAGGCTATATTTCACTTGCATTTCACTCACCTTTTCCCTTTCCCTTTTCAAATTCCTACCCAAATCCATGACCCAAACACAACATAAGTTACAGATTATTCTTCTGTGTATAATTCAACCTAAATCATTAACTTGACAAAGTCTTTATCTCGATTTGTTCGGTCTGCCTAAATCTGGCTTTATGGCAGCTAGGCAATCCTCAACATAATCAGGAATTCTGACTTAATGGCAGATAATCCATTTTAACATGTGTCACATACCATGCCCTAACAATTCATCAAAAAATTTAGGGTTTTTGTATATAAAGAGTTGACCAGATGCTCACTATAACTATTTTCTCGAAGGAAACACTTTTTCTCAAATCCTTTCCCTTGAAAGTTACAGATTATTCTTCTGTGTATAATTCAGCCTAAATCATTAACTTGACAAATTCCTTATCTTGATTTGTTGGGTTCTATGGCAGCTAATCATCAACATAATCAAGAATTCTGACTTCATGGCAGACATCTGTTTTAACAGGCGTCACATACTATGCCCTAACAATTTTATCAAAAAAAAGAAAAGAAAGAATACTATGCCCTAACAATTCATCAAAAGTGTAAGATTTTTGTAAATAAAGATTTGACCAGATGCTCTGTTAGCTTTGAGCTCCTTAGTTCCCTACTACATTTTTTTCCCTCTTTTTTGGGCTATTTAAACTTTAAGATATAAAATTGTATGTTTGCCAAACAAGGCCTCTGCAAGTTTCATACAGACTAAGAAGCTAAATTCACCAAAAGGATGACTTTTAAGATGGAATAGGAATGTATTTTGGCAAATTGAAGGTTGTTCAAGTTGAAGGGCAAAGGTCAAAATGCATATAAACACTCTTGAAAATTATGATATGGAAATTGATGTTTAAGTATGCCAGGAGGTTTTTTGGGGCTGGTTTTAATTAGTTTTATGCGGCTAAAGTTTGTTTAAGAATGAGCTTTACAGATTCTCAGGTTGTATGAAAGAGGTAAGTTTTTAGGGTTTCAATTTGGCGAGAAAAAGAAATATAAGGTGACATTATGGTCGGAAGTCTTTTGGTGCTGGATTTAATAAATTTTATGAGACTAAAGTTTGGTAAATTTAGGCAAGTCAGTACAAAAGGAGTCACTACTAGGATGACGTTTTTAGATTCCCGTAGTTCCACTAGCAAAGAACTTCATGACTCCCTTGGAGCAAGTCCTTGGAAAACTTGTGTCAAAGGAATGAAGGCTTCTCTCACTCTCCAATAGTTGGAACAACACTCAAAATGGTGTTTGTGAGGGTACAAGAGGTGTACATACATGTAGGTCCCTTCTCTCATAATCCCAAAATGGTGTTTGTGAGGGTACAAGAGGTGTACATACATTTAGGTCCCTTCTCTCGTGATCCCAAATGGGGACTGCTGGGGGGGTATATATAGTCGAGCATCCAACGGTTAGTTAATGGCTTGTTTTTTTTTTTGTTTTTTTTTGGGGGTTGGGGGGGGGGGGGGGGGGACAAATTTCCTGGTGTGTCAACCATTCTACAGTTGTGGTCAACCATCTTTGTTCGCTATGTTTGGCCATGCATCAGTATGATCGACCAAACTATTGCCACTTGGGTTCTTCTGGACATCCACCTTGGTTGACCGTCACTCTGTGATGAACATTTCCTAGACTGGACTTTACCATAGTTTACCATACTTCTTACTATGGTTGACCAAGCTGACAAAACTTAAAATTTTTGAGCCTTTGCTTGTCCTACTTGGTCTGTTGATGAAGCTCTTCCATAGCACTTCTTCCATATATATGAAGGTCTCCAATAGCACTTCAAGCTTCCAAGATGTTGTAAGTATAGTCCAGTGTGCTCTTCTCATGGTAGTGGCTTGGGTTCTATCTAAGGTTGCACATCCGAGTCATGAAATTGCCTACCGAATGTTAGTCCTAATAGTAACATATTATTGATTTATATGTTGATATTTATTACAATGATTCATGATTCCTATATATAGAAGAGGGTGAGTGTGTAGTAGGTAAGGAGTAGGTGAAGTGGAGGTGGTAGTGGTGTAGTGGGTTAGGTTTAGTGGAGTAGGTGAGGTGGTAGTGTTGTAGTGGGTTAGGTTTAGTGGAGTAGGTTTAAGTGGGTGAAGTAAGTGATAGGTTTTAACAGTTAGTCCTAATAGTAACATGGATGACATGAAATTGAAATTTCATTGTACATGCGGCATGTTTAGGAAATGACCCAATGATGCCATTGGATGAATTTCATGGGAAGAATGATTTCACACTTGAAGCATCATACTAATGTATATGCAACAATTGTAAAGGTCATACCCAATGTACAAGGCTCCCAGTTATTTGCTATACTAGCTATCTTTGTAACAGGGTTGGGTGCAAGTAAACTATTATATGCATAAACTGCATGCACAACCTGCTTCTTAAATTTTTCCTTGCCCTTTTTTTATGCTTTACACACATATACACATAAGATCTTTATAAGTTTTTGTTTCTTAACTGATTATTGGATTGATTTTCAAGGGAGGATTTTCGTAAAGAATTCCAAGAAAAGAATCCAGATGTCAAGTCAATGCGTGATGTATGTATGGGAATGTTCCATATCTGGTTTATTTTGATTTAACTATTAATTTGGTTCCATTTTCTCTCCCTTTTCCCCTTTTGATATTCATGTAATTTTTCTGTACTTTCATGCTTCAGATTGGCAAAGCTTGTGGAGAGAAGTGGAAAACAATGACATATGAGGTTTGTGCTTCAACTGAAGTTCACTATACTGTATACTCTTAAGCACCATCTGCTCATCATTTTCTTTCACATTTGTATCCAATCAACAAAATTATGGATTGTTTTGTCCTGTCTTTGGTTTCCCAATAAAGGTCCAATTAATCATTTGATCTGGATTGAATTTTGAAAAATTTCACGGATATAGGTACCTACGTTTTTTCAGTTAAAAAAAGAAAAAGAAAAAAAAGCTGTGTGAGGGAATGGTATAGATTTGAATGTGTTTGGCAGTGCACAACGCTTGACACTTGTTTTAAACTATCCTTAGTTTTTTATTTATAAAACGGAATCCTCATGTGACCCTGAAGTGAAATCCTTCTCAGTTGTGCATTTTGAGATCCATAGAAGTATGCTGAGAAGAAATAAACAAAAGAAACATCTAAGATTGTCCTTCAATTATTAATGGTAGTGAAGTCGGTCGATGGTTTGATGTGGTGGTGGGTTTAGTGGGTGAGAATGTTGGTTATGACGATTCATGAATCTGAATCAGGTTAAGTGTTGGTAAGTTACCACGCCTGTAATAATTAATTAAATTAAGGTGGGTTGGTTTCTCATTGTATTGCAAACTCAAACACGCTCAAATACCAGAAACCCTAAAGTGGAATGTGCTAATGGATTCATGGCTATTTGCCTTCTTTTTTTTCTTTTTTTTTTCCCTGCAGCTGTAACCTTTTAATTTACATGTAATAGGAAAAGGTTCAATACTATGATATAGCCACAGAGAAACGAGCAGACTTTGATAAATCCATCGCAGCATATAACAAAAAGAAGGTAGGCTTCTTTTACATGTTCTTTGAGTTTCTTGAATGCCATGATTCTATGGCATGATTACTGTGTGACATATTTTCTGTCTTATGAATGAACGGAAATTTTGCAGGAAAGCGGAGAGGATCAAGAAAGTGAGGACTCAGCGTTTGATGAGTAGGACCGTTAGGATTATTTGTTCTGGGAAGAAGTGTTTCTGTAGGAACAGCAGAAATTTGGGAAATCAGTTGTATATAACTTCATGGTTCTTTGGAACTACACAACTGTATAATCTTTATGTAAATTACTGTTTGGAAATTGCATTCGATTTGATACAGAAGTACGTGATTTTTGGTGGCTAATGCTTTTGGTTTTTGCTGAAATTTATTGGATTTTGATCCCAGTGGGATCTTTTACATTTGTTGACCAGGTTTTGTTCTCAATTACACCCGCTCGTTTTTGGCAGAAAGCGTAAAAAAAAAATTCCAGAATTTTTTTTGGGATTAAAACGTTTTCCTGGTTGTATTCTTAAAACTAATGTACTAATAATAGTTGTATTAGTGGAGGTGGGGTGGCAATTGATAAGATTTTAGTTTGGAAAATATTTCACCTTTCAAATTTTTTGTCTAAATAGATTTGTTTTTTTGTAGATCATCAAAAATAATTTCAGTGGACACCAAAAAGGGGCATTCTAATTAGTAAGAGAGTATGTTCCTCTCCTTACTGATCAGGGTTTAAACTCCGTACTACTCAAGTGAAAATCTGACAGTTTAGATAGATCGGTTAGTTTCTCCAAACGTTTTCCTGGTTGTATTCTTAAAACTAATGTACTAATAATAGTTGTATTAGTGGAGGTGGGGTGGCAATTGATAAGATTTTAGTTTGGAAAATATTTCACCTTTCAAATTTTTTGTCTAAATAGATTTGTTTTTTTGTAGATCATCAAAAATAATTTCAGTTGACACCAAAAAGGGGCATTCTAATTAGTAAGAGAGTATGTTCCTCTCCTTACTGATCAGGGTTCAAACTCCGTACTACTCAAGTGAAAATCCGACAGTTTAGGTAGATCGATTAGTTTCTCCCAGTTTGGCTTGTAAGAGGATTTTAAAGATCCTGCCTTGATAGTGTTCTGCGTATCAAAAAAAAAAAAAAAAATCAGTTGACTTTTATATTTTGTTATATCAAATGTACAAAATGCGGAAATTCATAAAATATTTTTCCCCAAACCAATGGAGCATAACGAAACTACATTCTCTCCAATGTATATCATCCACCTGAACTCTCTCTTTCTCTCTACAAAATGACGAATTATACACCATATGTTTTCAGAAGGCATTGTGTGATACTTTTTCAGAAAACAAACAAGATAAAGAAAGAAAGAAAGAGAAAAAAAAATAAAGGAAGTTGAAATTGCAATAGTAATCAATTGTTTGGTTTATTATACATAATCTCATAGAAACCCAAGTGGTTTTTCCAAGTCATACATATGTATGGCATCTTGAACTGACAAAATTGTATGAATTACTGTCTCAATGTCTTCTCCTCAACAACTGTTTGCCTACCAGAAGAGATGCCTAATGAATCGGCAATACTTCTGACCTCTGCAACCATCGCAACCACATCATTAAGCTTGTTAATCGCTGACCCTACACCCTGTATATACATGAAAACACTAATGTTAGTAATTTACTTCACTATATTTGAACAAACCTAATTCTTCAATATAAAAAGATCATCATCCCACATTAACAGTTTTTAGATTACATACCACACCAGCAGCGCCTGCAGTGATGGCCATTGGAGCTGTAACTGCACTCAGTCCAGACGAACACATAACAGGGACCTTGACAGCCCGGGAAATAGAATACACTGATGCTAGCGTTGGGGTTGCCTAAAAATTTTCCATCGAAGTGAAAACAATATGTCAGTCACATATTGAAAATCTATCACAGAACCTCACATACAGTGATCTTGACAACCCGGGAAATAGAATATGATAACACTAGTATTGGGATGACTTTCCCAGAACCCGACACATGGAGTGGAACTGCCAGGAGAATTTGAAGTTTGGATGACTTTGCTGCAAACATAACATTTTTCACAGCTTCTATGTCCATAAAAGGTGTTTTCATAGAAGGGCTCTCAAGGAATCTGTTTTGAGTGCATACAACTTTTGCTTGCAAATGTATACTTCTACTGATAGTTGAATTGATTAGAAAAGCATACATTTTGAGATCAGAGTAAATAAGCTTTCGGGTTTATGCTTTATGTTTGAGTAATGTTATAGAAACATACATTTTTTAGAAACCTAGTTTACCGACTGATGTGTCAGTTGCATTGTTCTTATCATTTAAATTCAGTGGGTCCCATTTCAAATATTAATACTTCATTACTACTCCCCACATTAATTTATTAAAAAAAATTAAGGAAGTTTATTTTGGGTAGCATTTTTTTTTATTTCTTTATATTTTTCAAGTTCATAAAAAAGAAAAAAAAAAAAAAACTTATTTACCAAGAAGGGCAGTTGTTTAGTATTAGTCCCATACAATTCATCAGCTGCTGAATACTGCAACTTCATTTTCATCCTTTAGGCTATGTTTGAATCGTGAATTAATAGAGACAAACGGAAAAGAAAAGGGAAAAGATACAAAGAAAATGAAAGAAGCTGCATTCATTTTTAAAAATTTTTCATTTCCCTGACCCTTAATAAATCCAAGATTCAAACAAAGCATTAGTGTCAGTCGAGCAGTAGTTGGGTCAGAATTTCTCCCCAAAACCTTTTAAGATGATGATCAAGGTTCAGTGAGTGTTGCAAATAGATCTTGACCTATTTTACAAGACATTGACAAATATTACAGGTTTTGTGGGTACATTTTCACGCTCATTACTACATTTTATGGTCTGTTCTTGCAACATTCGCCTAAAGGAACACTCCGGATCTTCTTATTGTCCTTCATTCAAATATGATGTATATATAATGTGTATGTATTTATCATACCTTCTCAATCAAACCAAGAACGCCAGCCTTCGAGGGATTAGAACATTTCCCTCCTTCAGTCTGGATAATGTCAACCCCTTCCTGTTCCAACCGTTCTGCTAGCTTGACCTGTTCAAAAAAAAAATAATAATAATAAAATGCAATAAACAAATCGAGCTAATCTGAACTATATACTACAGATAAAAATGTTGAATGTGACCTGATCCGGGAGGCTTAGTGTGTGAGGCACGGTGACTGATAGTGTCACAGATGGAAGAATTCTCTTAGTCTCCTTTGTTAGATTTAGTATCTGCAAACAATATTCGACAGTGTAAGAAGAAGAGAAATCATCAAAAGCTTCTTTGAATGGTTTGAACAGAATGAATTAATTGGCTTATGATTTGTATTAGTTGGAACAATATGATGTGAAAATCATGAGGTGGAAAATTAGTCTTCAAATTCATTTAGGATGTTCCAAAAATTACTTCACAGCTGACTCTGTTGTCTAATTCTCTATTTTTCATGCTTTTACTGGATTTTTCTAAGCAGGAAAAAGGTAGAAGGGGGACCTGATTGAACGTGACCATAGTGCTCCTGCTTCGACCGCAGGTACTCCCTCAAGTCGAGCTTGAGTTACAGGCCCTGTTTGGCTACTGCTTTTTTAGTCACTTTTTAGCTATTTAAGCACCAAAAAAAACAAAAAAAGAAAAGAAAAGAAAAAGCTAGACCGTTTGGCTACGGCTCTTTTAGCTGAAAATTGTGATAAAACAACTTCTTTAACAAGATTCATCTATGTTTTCCAATTGCTAAAAAAGTCACATTTTTTTCAAATTTTTTTTTTTTTGTCTTTAGTGAAATTTTTTAAAATTTGCATTAAAATTTTCTACTTCTCAGTCCCCTTCTAGTCTTAGAAGGATCTTAAAAAAAATGAAAAATCTAAAAGCAAATCACTAAAAAAAAAAAAAAAAAGCAAAAAAGCACATCAACTTACCTAAACTTTGCAATAACAAAGAAACCTTTTTTAGCATTTGCTAACCGCATCAATTTTTTAAGCAACAACTTTTTCTTATAAGATAAGTCCTTGATTAGTATTTTCTTATACCTGCTCTGGAGAGAAAAGAATGCCCATCTCATAAAAGGAATCATAATTTCCAATCTCTACCTGCATCAACCATCAGCTTTTGTTGATAAGAATTTACAATATGTATTGTGCTTTTTCTACTTATGTAATATTGCATTAAAAAGCCACAGGGTCATATATTCAAGCTTGTGAACTCAAAATCAAATGACAGTAGCTTAAGATTATGGCCTAACCATCAATGCTCCTGCTTCAACTGCAGCTGGAAATGCTGCTGGATCAACAGAAGAGACACAAACCTGCCAGTGAGACATACGAGTCATCAAATCATAAATGATTAAAAACCCAACTCCATTGGCAAAGGGATTATGCAAAAATAAAAATAAAAATGCAGTCATCAGATACTGTGCTAGATAAATGTGTTCATCAAACTGCAAAATCTGTATACATTGAAAAAGTCAACCCAATATCACCAACTAGTTGATCCATGACATAACGCGACAGTTGGATAATTTTCAAAATACTTAACAATATGATCTCAATAAGATTCTAATATATAGGGCGAATTAATATTATGATATATGGTATTAAGTGAAGAGCACTAATACTAGTGAATTTAGTTCATGTTATTGAGGCAAAAATTTAGTTCATAAGAACATTTAACATGTCTTCTTTTTAAAAGACTTTATACACAATATCGAGAAATTATTCGGTGCTCCTGGAGCAATGCTCAATTCCAATAGTTGTCAATTTGAAGCACCACCTAGACTTGCTCCAAGAGCACTGAATAATTTCGCAATATCACAGCTGGGAAAGCTGCATAATGTAAAGAGTAAACATTTAATTTGAAGGAAGAACGATCCGAAAAGCAAATCCAAAGAGTAAGAAATTACTGGAAGAGAAGTCAAGCTAGTGGCAAGCTTCACCAACTCCGGGTCACAAGCTATGTCCACATGAGTTGCCCCACCCTGCGTGATTAGCATAAAAGTGAAACAAATTCAAACATAGTGATCCAGGGTGCTGAGATATGTCAGAATAAAGTATATAAAATATATAAACATCAAGTTCACTTTTCTAGATTGCCACTAGGGTTAGACACACAATATTCTTTAATCTTGATTATGCAGTGACAATTTTACCGAAAAAAATTGTTTGAACATAAAATTTTCTTTTTATGAGATTCTATAAAGCAGCGGGTACAAGGTGCTTCGTCAAAAGGAAGTTGAAAGTTTTGATCTCAAGGTTGCAATGAACGCCCTTCCTAGAATAAGTGTTTGCCTCAACTGTTTTTTTCCAAGCAAAAAATCCCCAAAATTACAGAAATACCTTCTTTCAATAATTTTGCAATCTTTGCACCTATGGATTATATTATACTACCAGATTTTATAATAAGTGATCTTGTATTTTGTGGAAAAAGCTAAATGTTTTTCATGCTGAGATTGAGAATTAGTTAGGTTCTAGCTTTATCGCTAATAGATGAGTTATAGAGTACAATCAAATGAACTAAGATGAACATGAACGACCAACCTTATCTGCAGCAGTAACAACAGAAGCAACATTGTCTCTACAAAAATTCTGCAAGCCGGAAATAATCTGCAAAGGACACAAATACTAGCTTGGTATCACTAAGAAAAGAAAATACAAAATAACATAGACAAAAATTAATTTTATTAGGGAAAGCAGTGTGCTAATATATGGATGTGTGTCAAATTTTAAGCTTTGTTTGGACCTTGGAATTGCTAACGGAAAAGGAAGAGGAAAGGAAAACCATTTTTCCATGCTTTTATTTTTTCCTCCTAAAATAAAAAGGTGAGGTTAAATTTCTTTTACTAAATGAAAAGAAATTATGAAAAAGAGCAGGCAAAAGTAGAATTTTGTTCCATAATCTTGTCATTTTTTTTCCTGTTCACATTGTTTTCCATGTTGAATCAAACTTATGAATCAAACTGAGAATTATACAACTATTGTTTTTGGAACAAAATTACAACAATTGATTAGTGCAATAACATGATTGTAAAAACCATCAATTCAGACAGTCCTCAGTTATCAAAATTCATTATTTCAGAAAGCTCACAATGTTTGGAACAAAACCCCCGATATATTTTATTAAAAACAGAGTAAATTTTTTTTCTTACATTAGAGTTAAAAATCCACTTAAAACCCAAAAAGGGATTCATATGAAAATACCCAGAAAAAAGAAGAAGATAAAAATTAAATAAAGATGGGCTTCATCCTTTCAGGCAATAGGAAGAGTCCAGCACTACAAAAATTCTGATTTTCTCAGAAGCCAAACAGTCCATTGAAAGAAAATTAGAGACATAACGGGGTAATAGCAAGAGGGTAAGAGGGAGTCAGTTGGATAATGACAATACCTTGAGAGCTCTTCTTTCATGGAAATCCCTTAAAACTGATTCTTTAGAAGTTGAGAGCAAAGCCCTTGTTGCAGTGAATGAAACTCTTTTCTTAGCAAAGAAAATGGGTTTTGGGAAGAGAGAGTGACCAAATAGAAGACGGTTGTTATTGGGTTCGAAGAGTTTGTGAGAAGTGGGTGAAATGGGTATGGAGATTGAAGAACTCATCATCTCTCTGTGACTGTTTTTTTCTCACTCTCTCACTTCGTCAGTGTGTGCGTGTAACCTTTGGAGGGAAGAGATAAGAAAGAGTGGCAAGATACTGGCCTGGTTTGATTTGCTGAAATTATTTTTCAGATTTTTTTTTTATAAAAAAAATAGATATTAATTTGACAAAAATAAAGATCAAAATGATATTTTTAAAATGAGAAAATTAGTAAAACATCCCTCTCGAACTTTGTATAATATGAGAGGTCCAAGATGTCTTGATGAAATTTCTATGTGATTATACTAGAGAAATTTCAAAATTTATTTGTGAAATTAGAGAAATTTGTCTGTAAAAATTGAAATTTGTCTGTGTCAGGCCGAAATTTCTCTGAATCAGATGAAATTTCTCCGTATCAAATTTTTTTTGTAAAAATGTTGAAGGACCTCAACTATTATAAAAATATTATATGTCTTTTATCTTATAAAATTTTAATATCAGAGACCTTAAAAAAAAATTTCCTTTTAAAATTTTTAAAATTATTTCTGCCCTCAAAAAAAATAAAACTACATATTGTTTTTTTATTTATTTTTACCAAATTTTGAATTTTTTTTCTTTCCCAAAAACAATTTTTGAAAACCAAACCAAACTAAACAATTTTGTCTAGGAGAAAAAAAATGCTTCAAAATTAAAAATTAAAAATTAAAAAAAAAGTAGATTTAATTTTTCCAATCGTTTCTGATATTTTTATATTACATTACAACTCTCAGTTGGGTTAGGCAATGTTTTAGCAACTTTTTGTTGAATAAATTTTTTGGTCATCTTTCATGGGTTGTAAGTCTTTTTCTGTGTTTAATGGAAGTTTTATTTTTTTATTTTTTGTATATTGCATCAACAAATATATTTCACTTGTAATATAATTATTTAAGATTGTCCAATAGAAACACTATTTACCCAAAAAATCAAAGCAATTAAGAAGAATGATAGATGAGTGCTTGTTAGCTTACCACAAGGCCACAAGAGAGTTGGTTTGAAATGGGTGTACAAAATAAAGAGTAATACAATAGTGAAGTTCAAAGATACAAGGTAAAATTAGTTACTATAAATGCAACATGCAAAGAGTTGGAATTTATTATGGAGAGATTTTTGCTTCCGTGACTTGTTTAGAGATGATTAGATTGATGATTTCTTTAATTATACCCAACATAAATGGAAAATTTTATTATCTTGATGTGAAATTTTATTATTTTAAACGATTTTCTCAAAGAAAAAATTTGTGTTGAACAACTTTTGAGGTATGTCAAAGGCATGAAGATAGGGTTTACAAGTTTAAGAAACCCCTTTATGGACTAAAAACAAGCATCATGGGTATGAAATGCAATAATTAATAAGTACTTTTATCTTTGTAAGGCCTTGTTTGACAATCAAATTTTTTAGTCAAAAAGTTAAAAAGTTATTAAAGTAGCCAAAAAGTCAACAACTCATACCAAAAAGTCAAAGATTCTCTTTTCTCTCTACTTTTTGCACATTTTTCGTAAAAATCCAAAAAATCATTCCAAACATACTAGTTTTTTTTAGCTCATATTTTAGCCAAATAGCCAAAAAGTTACTAAATTAGCCTGTTTCCAAACGAGACCTAATTGTGCATTGGGGTGTTATGAAAAAATAGTTAAATGATGATTTTTGACTTTTAACTAAGTTTTTTGATTTTTTTAGAAAGTGATTTGAAAAGTTGGTAAAAAGTTGGTTTTGATTTTTTTGATTAATATTTATTTATAATGTCACGTCACAATCAAATAATCAAAATATCTCCATCTATTTAGGAAATTTACATTTTTACTTATGTATAACCCTAAACATTATAAAGGATATAATTATAATTTCACAACTTGTTTTTTTGACTTCCCCAATCACTTCTTATTAAAAAAAGTCAAGCTAATTTTTTTATCCCCAAGCTGCAAACGCAGCTTTTAACGTGTGTTTTCCAAAGAAGCCCTATATATATATATATATGAAGATGGATGCAGATATAAATGTGTTTGCTTGTGGGCATCTATATTGATGACTTTGATTTCATTGGGAACAATATGTTCAAGAAAATCAACATGAGTATGATTCATGAGTTTAAATTGAATTGATATATCTCGTTCTTGACAATGAAGTTGTGAAAAGAGAATATGAAAATTTCATTTTTCAAAGACATTATATAAAGTAGATTCTCAGAAGATTTGGAATGAGTATCTTTACTACTTATATTAAAAGTTTGGCATATTATAAAAAAATTAGAAAGTCAAAAAGTTATTCAAAAAGTTAAAAAGTTAACACTATTCACCAAAAGTCAACAATTACGGCTGCACAACTCCCAATTATAATTTTTCCTTACAAATCAATTTTTACAATTTTTTATTACACATTTTTCCATAAAAAGTCAAAAAGTTAACCCAAACATCTATATTTTCTTCCTCAATTTTTTAGTCTAAAAAGACAAAAAGTACACTTATTTAGGACACCCCAAACAACCCCTTAAGTCTCAGTGGTGTTTTCAAATATTTACTTCTCCTTACGTCACATGTTATATTTTTTTATTCTAAAATAAAAAATTAAACAAAGAGGTATAAGATTATACGTATTATAATATTAATTTCTTTATTATTATTATTTTTAATTTTACTTATTTAAATTATACATGCATCATATATGTCGCTCATTTTATAATAAGGTTAACATTCTCTGAATAATATATTAAAGCTAAGGAAGGGCACTAATTGTGGTAATGTGAAACCAACTTACATTAAAAGTTTAGTTGGAAGTTTTCGATGCCTCATTTATACTAGGTCAATCATTCTCTATGTTGTTGGATTAATTAATAAATAAGAAAGTATTGGACCAATCACATTTAGACTTACATGTACCTATCTTCAAAGGGTATGTTTGATTGGAAGGATTAGAGTATGAGATTGAGATTATTAATCCGTGGGCCCAATTATCCCATGTTTGTTTTGACAATTTGTTTTAGGATTATTAATCCAATGGGAGACAATTAGAATCGGATTCCAGGTAATGTACATTGAGAGAAGCTAAAGCTAAAGTGAAAGTTCTCTTTTACAGCTACACATTGTGGCCTTTACAGAGTAAGGTCTTTTACAGCTATACATGGTAGTGGAGGTGTATATTATATGTATATTATATGTTAACAGTTATAATGCATGAAAAGGTAATAATAAGAAATTTAATGGATGTAAATGGAATCTTCCCACATATAAATTTGGTAAAGAGAATTCTTCATTATATAACATGATGAGTTACTTTATTCATGGACTAATGATTTTAGAGTTATTGGTTGCTTCATAGTGATTGAGGAAGAGATTTGGATGAAAATAACATTTATTTTTTTCTTGGGAAATTTCACATTCACTTGAGTATTGCAAATGCTTCATTCTACGAGTTATAATATTGGGTAAATTACAAATTATCTCCTGTAATTTTAGAAATTACATTATATTTTTTAAAGTTTCTAATTTTATAATAAATAGGCCTTTTTATTAATAAATCATCAAGTTAATTAATAATTTTTAATAATGTTAAAATTTTATTATAATTAATTATTCAAATAATTTTATTATTGTATATGTGAACAGTTAGAAATTTCATTTTTTCAATTAATTTTGTTAAATAAAAATTCTGACAGTAAGGTATTTGTAATTTTTCAAATCACAAAGAATAATTTATATTTTAAACAAATCTCAGGTGTATTTATAATTTACCCTATAATATTTAAGCCCATCGTTGGATTATGTAACGAAAGTTGAAAATAATACTAGGAAATTAGGATCAGTTTTGGAAACTGTAGGAATAATTTTACAAACTTAGAATTTTGACTTTGAGATTTCAATTAACACAAGGAGTTTTCTTAAGTGTGCAAGTGCACACCATGTGCCACTTACACAAAAAGTGTAAGTGTAAGGTGTAAGTATAAGTATAAGGTGTAAGTGTAAGGTGTAAGTGTAAGGTGTAAGGTGTAAGTGGGTTGCACATGGTGTGCAACCTCAAAAAAGGTGTAAGTGTAAGGTTTAATTTTTTACAAAAGGTGTAAGTGTAAGGTGTAAGTGTAAGGTATAAGGTGTAAGGTGTAAGTTGCACACCATAACCAAACCCTTAACACAAACATACTCAAAGTTTTAAAAACATTTAAAAATGTCAAAGTCAGCATCAACATAGCCCTTTTTTAATCTACCCTAGAATGATTGGAATATTTGAGTATGCTTGTGTTAATTGAAATCTCAAAGTCAAAATTCTAAGTTGGTAAAATTATTCTTACAGTTTCCAAAACTGATCCTAATTTTCTAGTAGTATTTTATGTTTAAAATTTAAAAGATAAATTACAAATATATCTTCTGAAATTTACTTAAAGTATAGATTACTTCTTATGGTTTGAAAAATTACAAATACTTCCTTATTAGAATTTTTTATTTAACAGAATTAATTAAAAAAATGAAATTCATAATTGCTCTCTTACACAATAATAAAATTATCTAAATTATTAATTGAAATATATTTCTAATATCATTAAAAACGGTTAATTGCCATGATGACTTATTAATAAAAAGGACGATTTGTTATGAAATTAGAAACCTCAGAGGGTGGAATGTAATTTCTAAAATCAAAAGGAACGATTTATATTTTAATCAAATCTTAAGGGGCATATTTATAATTTACCCAAATTTAAAATTTTTCAAAATTGGTTCATACTTGCTCTTTCCCATCCATTGCAAGTATTGTGGATGGGAGATTTATATATAAATTTCATTTAGTAGATTTATAATCTAATAAGTTTATAAAGTTTTCTAATATTCTATCAAGTCTCATATATTTTATATTTTAATATAGGTTATTTTTCTTATTATGTGAACTATTTTATCCTTATAAACTTTTATTATAATATATATAATTGTACGGGGAGCAAATATTCCGGCGAACTCGTACTCCTTTCTTCCAATCTCCTTGTCTGTCCGATCGACCTGCGAACACAACGACAGTGAGCTACCCGGCGGTGTGTGGCCGAAAAACCCTTCCGACGGCCAAGTTAGCACACACTCAGGGATAGAGAGAGAGAT